GGGATTACAGGCACGCACCACCATGCCCAGCTAATTTTTTGTAGCTTTAGTAGAGACGGGGTTTCACCGTGTTGACCAGGATGGTCTCGATCTCTTGACCTAGTGATCCACCCGCCTCGGCCTCCCAAAGTGCTGGGATTACAGGCTTGAGCCACCGCGCCCGGCCTAATGTACTGATTCTTAACCAAAATACTTCATTCCTTGATCTTTCTCCCTTAATGTTTCTGATAGAATATGTGTAAAACACACATTTAACAACTCTCATACTACTTCTAAATGTAACCATAGTGTAAAACAGAGCAGCTGTTGCTATGAGACCCTTCACTTTCAAGTTTACAGTATTAATGTTGAATTAACAGACTGGCATACTTATCTATGACGTAGGTAATGAAGGAAAAAAAAGTACACCTCAGTAGACTCAACAAGGATATCACAAGTAATGACTAGCAAGCAACATTTTGTGAAAAATAAAATGTAGGCTTATTTTCAGGCACAAGAAATGCTAAATGAAATAGCTTACTTTTACCTTAGACTTTCTCCCAAATTATGTGATTTCATTCCAAGAACAAGAATCACAGCTTACTACCAGCCATGCAAATGTCGTTTTAGGAATGCACACAAATTTTACCCAGTATCTTAGTTCCCATTTGTCCCACTTGTTTAAATCTATGTATAATTTAAAAGCCAAAACTAGATATTTTAAGTTTTCCTTCTAACTAAAGTCAAAACTATTCATTTACCAAATGAATTAACTGAATACAGTTAATTAAATCTTTTATTTATAATTGTAAATTGGACCACACACTTTCTCACTTAATACCTATTATATTCTGTTTCCCATACGTCTCTATAAGTAGAAGTATTTGCTGGAAGACAATAATCTGCTCATTAAGTAGGCACTTAGAAAAAGCAGTGATCTGCAACTACGAAATTCATATCTGTATATTTACCTTTTGAGTTACAGGAAAGCACTTCTCTGGCTATTTTCCCAAATAACCTGGGTAAGTCTTGGGAAAGTCACTGCTTAAATCTCACTTCATGACAGTTTCTCTTCCTCCATAAATGAATTTTTGAGAGCCATGTCTACACTTCCATCCATTACATAATACATGTCATCGTGGGAACAGTTTTCTGAACAAGAAATAGCTTAACTGACACTAACCGATAAGTAGGGCTAGTGAATACCGTAATCTAACGGGGAGCAGGAATCCATAAAAGAAGATTCTGATTCACAGTGCTAAGTTGTGAAAGAGTGATGTGAAGAACACTGAACGCTGCTTACTCTTAGTAACATTTCCATACGAAGTGATACACATGCCCCCAAAATGTTTTCAAAGCACTTGACTCCAAGAATATTTCTCAGAAATTGAGGGGCCGACTAAAAAAATCAAAGTTTCATTTCATTTTTAAAGTTTTAATAAAGACTGCAATAAATATAACTGCAAATGAGAAATAAAAATCCAACAATTTATGTGTTCAGGCTATACGCGGTTCCACGGCAAAATTATAAAAAAAAAAAAAAAAAAAAAAAAAAAAAAAAGAAAGAAAAAAAATCCAACAATTTGGCATTGAATACAAAATGTCTAAAAGTCAAGGTCCACTGAGCAACACACTGTAAAAGACGGTTGTACTTTAAAACATTTAAGCATTTCTCCTGTAATTAGCTCCAACAGAACTGTTTAAATTGTTCACTTCATCCACCCAAAGCAGTCAATCACAACCACCTGCAACTATTACTCAGAAACGTGTCTTCCAAAGCAACCACCTGAGTCTGGGGCCTTCTCGCAAGGGTCCATAAAGCCTGGGTATAAATAGATCTTTTAGGCTCAGGGAAAAACAAAACTAACAAACAAAAACTGGAAGACACCACCTTGAAGGAGCCAAGTGTAATGCGACCTATACCCAAATGGTGGGTGCCACAAAGAAGTTGTCTGAATCGAAGATCTCCCTCTTCTTGGGTGTAAAACTTTCAGATACATCCACGCTTACAATTTACCTGAGCCAAAGCAAGAGGATTGTCTTCCCTCTCCCACCTCCCCTCCCACCCCGCCAGAGGAAAAAAAGAATCGAACCCTAAAGTAGAAACGTGAGATCTAGTGCAATAGGTTCTCCAACTGCCTCAAAGGCAACATGCATGGCTCATCTTTCTTTTGAAATACAACGCTTCATCTTTTATCTCACCATTTCATCAAAATGAAAAGAATCATCTTCAACATTTTACATCACTCACCTAACCCACAGATCCACCCTGACCGCACCCTAACCTCATGGCTCCCTAATTTCCCCGTCTCCCCACTACCTCGTCCGCAGTCTCACGACTCCTAAGCCTCCCACCCTCCGCTCCCCGAGTGCCCAGAGCCCCTGCTCCCCGCCTCCCACCTCCCGCCCGGGGCTCCCCACATCTACCGCCTCGGCTCCCGCCCAATCCCAGAGCCTGGCTGGGTGGAGCCCGCGGGTGGGCGCCGGTGGTCCGCGGGTCTGGGTGGGGCCCGCCCCTCCTCACCCTCCGGGCTAGCGAGGAGGGGGAGGGGGTCCCGATGCCTCACCTACAGCTCCGCCCCTCCCCGGGGGCGCGCTGCCCTACCCTGCCCAGCCCAGCTCGGGCCGTGAGCAAGAAGGCGGGTAGGAAAGGCGAAAGCCTCAGCGCTAGCGACAGGGTGGAAGCTCTGGGTCCCGCGCGACTTCCGCGCTGCCGCCGCTGCGGCCGTCTCACCCTCGGGGCTGCCGCTGTTGCTGCCGCTGCCGCCCGGGCGCCGCCGCCGCCACCACTACCACCACCACCGCCGCCGCCGCCACAGCCACAGCCACAGCACTGCCCGGGCGCCCGCGACGTCACTGCGCCCCGCCCCCTGCGCGAGACACCTAGTCCCGCCCTCAGGCCCGCCGCGGGACGCCGCGCGCCTCCCCGGCCTCCTGGGCCGGCTGCCTCGCTTTTTCTCAGCCTCCCGGGAGCGTGACGCGTCGGCCCGGGGACCTCCGGGCGCCTTTCGGGACACGCGGGTGAGGGGCTGGGAAGCGGGGGAGATTCGGCGCCACGGTGGTGGATCGGCACCGAAACAGAATGATGGGCGCTTAGCGTCCTTGCGTACACACACACATACACTCTCACACACGACCCCTGAGGCCAAGGGAGGGGAGAGCCGGGGCCGGCTCCGCGAGCGCAGGGCGGCGTTTGTCTCCTCCTGCTTGCCGTAGGAAGTGGACGCTGGAAGCCCGAGGAGCAGCGTCTTGTCTTCCCAAACCTAAGCGGAGCCCCACCCCCTTCTCGTGGCCCGTTACCCACGCCCGTGGCCGCAAGCGCAGCGAGAGCAGTGCCGGGATCATTTCGGGCTACCGGGTTAACGCTTTGTGCCAAGGAAGCTTTTTTTCCCCTTAGCTTCGCCGAACGCGGCCACGAAGTTAGTGGTCATCTGACCTGAGACGTGCGGCATTGCGCACACGGGCATCGCCGAGGACCCCAGTACTGGACGTCGTGTTCTGTGGTGATCCGACCAGGACGTGGGGAGCGTGGGCGGAAATTAGTGTCCACGCTCCGACCGTGCACTGTGCCAAACACTGCTTCGGGAGCTGTTTGTTTAGCCTCCGACAGCTAGGCAAGGGGGCGGGCGGCTGGGTCCTGTAGTCTGGCAACCCGATTTTCTCGTGCAGACTCGCAGCCGGTTTTGTTTTTTGTTTTGTGTGTGTGTGGTTTTTTTTTTTTTTTTTTTTGGAGGCATGCAGAGGGTAGCCATTAATGTAAGGATGTACATAAGCTATCTCTAAACCAAGAAAGTAAGAATGGTGTGAATTATATTTATTCCCAGACGTCCAGTGTTTATTAAAATAATTTTCGGTGTCCTTGAGAGGAGTTAAAAGCCATCATTTTACTCCTACTTACCCCCACCACCATAATTAACCACTTTATATTGCCTCCTAATCCCTCCAACAAATTCCAGTCGCTCCTCAGTGTTCACATGCATTCACTCAACAGTTTCTACTGTTTCATCCTGCCCGGACTCTAATTGTTCCCTCCCAGGATTGACTCGCACTTGGATCATTGCAGTTCCTGGGCCTGCTGTCATCTCCCCCTACAGTACTTCCTGCATATGACTACCAACTGTTAGAAGATGTGCTGCCAGACCAGCATTTCATTTCTTGGACATCCGGCTAATTACCCAGGAAAAGTCATCCTTTGACTATTTTTCATGACCTTTCTCATCTGACTCGTGGTCCCCCCATCTTTTTACTCCCTAGCAGTGTGGTAAGGTAAGAGAAAAGTCAACTAGGAGTCAATAGATCTTTCTGTTCTCATTCTCCCACTGTCTACTTGTGTGGCCTCTGGCAAATCATTCTACTTCTGGTCTTACTTAACTGTAAAATGAGGTTTGAAGTAGGTGTCTGAAATACATCGTGTCCTTAACATATGTGGATCTGGAGAGTCACGTTACTAAGCACTAAGGTATACACAGAAATACTGTCCTAACACCAATTCAGATTTTTATTTTTTGCCACCACGCTGGCAAAAAATATAATTTCCTACCCTGCTCCAGATATCTTTTTTAAAACCTACATTTAGGATTTTTGATTAAAGCTAGCTAACTGAGCACATATATTTACTGCCTCTTCTTCCTGAAACCCAATAGAATGATGATAAATGAAAATGAAAAAAGATAGAAAATCAGAAGGGGGCCATCAGAAGATAGTTTTTTTTTTAATTGACATGCAAAAAAAGTAAGTGTGGTCTGACAAAATAAAATGGAGAAAACCGTAATGTAGAATGGGTGTAGAAGGTACTGCAGAAATCAAGGGGACATATCAGCCCAGAGTGCTTTAGGGAAACTGAGATTTGGAGATACCTACAAGAGAGAGCAAGAGTGAGAAGCTGCGTTGAAAACAGGTAAACTAAATAAAGGTCTATATAAGGAAGAGCAGAACCCTCCCTATATCTCAGAAACAATATCTAGGCATTTATCCCAGTCTAAAATTAAGCATTCTCATAATCTGGGGAGATATGGGACAACTGAGTATTGAATGGCCTAAGACTAAAGCATTCTTTATCCTAGCACAGTAGCTGGTTTCCTACACACTCCTACTTCACTTTAAAGTGAAGTTGGGTAAGTTGACAGGAAATTCCTGCTATGGTTTGGATATGGGTTTTTTTGTCTCCACCAAATCTCATGTTGAAATTTTATCCCCAGTGTGATAGTCTTGGGAGGTGGGGCCTGGTAAAAGGTGTTTGGGTCATGGGGGCAGATTCTTCATGAATGACTTGGTGTCATTCTTGCAGTAGTGAGTTTCCATACTTGCAAAACTACATTGGTTATCAGGAAAATGGATTTGTTCCTTCAGTTTGTTGTAAAGCCAGGAATCACCTCGGGTTTGATCTCTCTCTGCATGTCTGCAGACACTTTCCCTTGATCTCCCCCACCATGTTTTGATGCAGCACAAAAGCCCTCACCAGAACTGAGCAGAGGCCTGTGCCTTGCTTCTTGTACAGCCTGCAGAATCGTGAGCTAAGTAAATGCATTTTCTTTATAAATTACCCAGTCACAGGCATACCTTTATAGCAACATAAAATAGACTAAGATACCTCCCAAGTTCACAAGACTCCTCATCAGCATTCCAACTACCTCATCTTATATATGAACAGACAACTAAGAATTATTAGATATTTAAGAGAAGTCTCATCCAAGTCACAGCACCAGAAGAAAAAAAAAAAAAGGAATTCTCCAATGTGGAATGTGGGGGAGATAAACAGAAACTGCAGAGATTTTAGAAAACCTAACTAGTATGCTAGCATACTCGGATGAAGTAACATCCAAGATTTAAAAGTAGATCTTGGCCGGGCACAGTGGCTCATGCCTATAATCCCATCACTTTAGGAAGCCAAGGTGGGCAGATGACCTGAGGTCAGGAGTTTGAGACCAGCCTGGCCAACAGGGTGAAACCCCATCTCTACTAAAAATACCAAAATTTGCCTGGTGTGGTGGCAGATGCCTGTAATCCCAGCTACCCAGGAGGCTAAGGCAGGAGAATTACTGGAACTCGGGGTGGGGCAGAGGCTGCAGTGAGCCAAGATTGCACCGCTGCACTTCAGCCTGGGCCACAGAGCAAGACTCCATCTCAAAAAAGTAGATCTTGAAATGTAAGAAATTGGCCCAATTATACATTTAATTAAAGTATTGAAAGATAAAGTCACTGAACTTTAAAAAAAAAAAAAAATAGAGGCCGGGCGCGATGGCTTAAGCCTGTAATCTCAGCACTGTGGGAGGCCGAGGCGGGTGGATCACGAGGTCAAGAGATCGAGACCATCCTGGTCAACATGGTGAAACCCCGTCTCTACTAAAAATACAAACAAAAAATTAGCTGGGCATGGTGGTGCGTGCCTGTAATCCCAGCGACTCAGGAGGCTGGGGCAGGAGAATTGCCTGAACCTGGGAGGCGGAGGTTGCGGTGAGCCGAGATCGCGCCATTGCATTCCAGCCTGGGTAACAAGAGGGAAACTCCGTCTCAAAAAAAAAAAATAGAAGAAGCCTGGGGAACATAGGGAGACCCCACCTCTATAAAAATTTTTAAAACTTAGCCAGGTATGGTGATGTACACCTGTGGTCCTAGCTACTCAGGAGGCTGAGGTGGGAGTATTGCTTGATCCTGGGAGGTCAAGACAGCAGTAAGCCAGGATTGTGGTGCTTCCCCCCAGCCTGGGTGACAGAACAAGAGACCTTATCTCAAAAAACAAAAGAAAAAGAAAATAGGGTCAGGTGCAATGGCTCTCACCTATAATCCCAACACTTAGGGAGGCCAAGGAAGGCAGATTGTTTGAGCCCAGGAATTTAAGAGCAGACTGGGCAACATGGCAAAACCCTGTCTCTACAAAAAAATTAGCCAAGCATGGTGACTTGTGCCTATAGTCCCAGCTACTCAGGTGGCTGAGTTGGGAGGATGGCTTAAGCCCAGAGGCAGAGGTGGCAGTGAGCCAAAATAATGCCACTGCACTCCAGCCTGGACAGCAGAGCCAGGCCCCATCTCAGGGAAAAAAATAAATAGAATAAACATATAAAGAGTTGGAAATTCTGAGAGAAAATAAGACAAAGAATCAGTTCAACCGTGCTATTATATGAGAAAGAGAAAACAAAGGAAGGACAGAAAATTATCAAAAAAAAATGCAAAAAAATTTTCTAGAACTGAAAGCATCCACTAATACAGAACTAAAACAAAACAAACAAACATTAACCATGTGAAATGTTTGAACTCTAAATATAAAGAAGATTCTAAGTTTCCAAAAAAGGAAAAAAATGGAGCCCATAAAGTAGCAGAAATCAAACTGGTGGGCCAGGCAAGATGGCTCACACCTGTAATCCCAGCACTTTGGGAGGGAGTTGTGGATGAACCATGAGGTCAGGAGTTTAAGACCAGCCTGTCCAGAGTGGTGAAACCTCATCTCTACTAAACATACAAAAATTAGCCAGTCATGGTGGCATGTGACTGTAGTCCCAGCTACTCGGGAGGCTGAGGCAGAAGAATCGATTGAACCCAGGAGGCAGAGGTTGCAGTGATCTGAGATTGCATCACTGCACTCCAGCCTGAGTGACAGAGCAAGACTCCATCTCAAAAAAAAAAAAAGTCTGGGCGCAGTGACTCATGCCTGTAATCCCAGCACTTTGGGAGGCCAAGGCAGGCAGATCACCTGAGGTCTGGAGTTCAAGAGCAGCCTGGCCAACATGGCGAAAACCCATCTGTACTAAAAATACAAAAATTAGCCACGCATGGTGACAGGCACCTGTAATCCCA